AGAGGGAGCAGTTGCGGGCGAGGGCAGCAAAGCGGGGACGTGACCCGGAGAAACTCCGAGTGCTTGGGGTTCCAGCCGAGAGGTCCCGGGCCGTCGGCGCTTTCCTTTCTCGACCCAGCCTAAGTTGGCCGGGGAAGGGGGTGGGTGGTGATCGACAGACTCATTGCCTAAGTTCATATGTGACACATGCATGATTTCTGCACCCCGCGGTGTACCTCATGGCCTTCCACAGGTTGCCTGCGTCTCTGGATAAAGACTCATCGGTGCGTAAAGAGATTAGTGGAGTGGGCAGGGACAGAGGGAAACAGGAGAGTTGGTGGCGTTTCGCAGGCAGGTATGGCCACCGAGGCTGAGGGGGCACAAATCCAACCCAGTCCCCTTCTCTCCATGGTGTCTGCTGTCCCAGCTCAGATGGAATAACGTGTTTTGAGTAGTTTTTGGCTAAGGCCCAATTCTACTCGCCTGTCTTGACTTGCAGTGCTTCTCAAGCCTGCCTGTCGTTTCTGCGAAGAACTGTGAAGTGAGACCTGTAGCAAACCTGTGTGCAGCAGAAGGACAAAGGTTAAGTCCTGGTCTGGGTGGGAATCCCTTGGCTGAAATGGAGGACAGAAGGGCCCAGGGCACTTAAAATCACAGCGAACCCCCCACCTGCAAGGCTCTAAATGTTGCTGCTGTTTTCCGCATCTGATCCAGATTTTATTAAATAAAGACCACATAGCATTTAAATTCCCAAAAATATGTTACGTGAGATAGTACTTTCTGATCTCAGGTAAGTCTATCAATATGGAGATGAGCTCTCATGGAGGTTCATTTGGGCAATCTGTCCTAAATTTATAGACTTCCATCTGTTGATTCAACCAAACCTGTAAATTCTCCCTGGCATCCACCCTGGGCAAAAAGCAAGCACCGCACATTTAGCTTTTGGTTACTCGATTTAATTGGGGACTCTGGTTTAGGATTAAATTGTTCTGGTGACTGCCGCTGCTTTCCCAGCTTACCCCATTGTCTAAGTATTTCGCAATCCAGGCTCAACCAGTCTTTCCAGCCTTGGTTTGCTGACCCCGGACAGGGATGCTTTCTTGTTCCTGGCATTTGCATACATCGCTCTCTCTTTCTGAAATGCCCTCCTCCGTGTCCATTCTCTTCAACCCACATCTAACGCTTCCTTTAAGGCTCAGCGTACGTCTGTCCGGGAACCTGGGGTGGAGCATGAGATGACCGCAGAAGTGAAATGAGAAAGTATGGAAGGCAGGCTGTCTACTTGACAGTTTCTCCTGGGACTGGTTGTGATGGAGAAACACTCAGACCTTCTCTGCTGTCTGACTTCTGTACCTCGGATGTGAGTGGGTGTGCCCAGCCTCGCTTTGGTAATAATAGCACAGAACCGTGGGTTGGTCATGTTTTCTCTAGTCTGAGGAAGGGTGAAAAGGGCAAGAAACTGTGTCCTTTCTGCCCTCTTAGAAACTCTTGTGAGAGGTCTGGACTCTCTGGGGGAAAATCCAGCCCCAGTTTTGTCTCAGGCTCTGCCCCCATCACTGCATTCAACACTTAACTTTGGTGACATGAAAGGTTAAAAAAGCAACGTGAAAGCCCTTGGCAGTCTAGCTCTCCCCTACTTTTCTAGCCTCGTGTCTGGACCCCTCTCTATAACCTCACTAGGCTACTTAAAGTTCTGCAAATATGCCAGGGCCTTCCATAACCCTGTGCCTGCTTCTGCGCCTCCCTTTGTCTAAGATCCCTTCTGACCTCTTCTCCTGGGCAGTTTTCACTCCTCTCTCCAGATTCCCTTCTTATATCACCTCCCCAACCATATGGGCAGATTTTAGTGCCCTAATCCCTCTGCTCATACTTTGATCAGTTTGGTCTCCCTGCTTCTACCTGCTTTCCCTCTAATCTGTTCTTCACGCAGCAGCCAGTATGATCCTTCTACAAATGTCAGATCGTGCCATTCCCCTGCCACCTTTCCAAGTCCAAAGCCAGGGTCTGTGTCTCCATGGCCTGCGAGGGCCTACCTGACATGGCCCTTGGCCGCAGATCAGTTGGCATCCCAGAGCCTTTGTGCTTGCTGCCCCCTTGCATCATTTAGGTCTCTGCTCATCTTTCCAGAACAGCTCTTCCCGAATACCCTACCTCACAGCTTTATTTGTCTTCGTGGCACCAAGGGCTATCCATCATTATGCTCATTTATAGCTTTATTGTTTGTCTCTCCTGCAAGGATATAAGTTCCGTGAGAACCAAAGTCTGTCTGAATGCGTAACTCTAGCTTAGTTCCTATCACATATTGCTATGGGACAGTGGACATCTGTCATTTTTATGGATACTCATCATGTTTTGAAAAACTTTCCTTTATTGAGAACTCGAATCCCCAGCCTCTCTTGCAATTGGGTTCAAAGGTGTGACTCAAGCTCTGACAGTTAGGCTCATTCATGTGACACTTAAGTTCAGGTGTGAGCAACCAGAGGAGGCAGGCTGTGTGTGGCACGTCCAGTTTTGCTGAAATGAATAGCAGCAGAGGGGGCTGGCTTTGTTGGCAGCACCAGCAGCACCAGAGTTTCTCTGTGGTTGCAGGACTGAACTGCTGATGCAGAAGTGGCATTGGTAGGGAGCTGCAATGGAGGTGGTTTCCCCACTGGGCGAGTTCTGCAGTGTGTTGTTTTTGTGCGGGTGTGTGTTTGTTATTTTTGCATTACTTTGGAGGCTTAGCTTTAGTCGTGATTCTCTACACCCTCCAACAACTCTGAGCGCTACCCAGTATCTTCCTCATACTCCTTTCCTACTACATCAGCAAGAGCCAGCTTTTCTTTCTCACAACTAAGGATCCTGACTTTATACAGCTGACTGTGCCTTTTCCCCTCAGGCGGCTATAATCTCCATTAGATGATTCACCAGCTATTTACTGAGTGCTTACTAGGTGGTGGGCAATGTCCTAACAGAGCTCCCAGTCTAGTGGCAAGACGGATACACAGATACCTACAGTAGAGTGTGACAGATGCTAAGATGTGATCGTGGAAAAGCACCCATTGGAGCCAGCGTCTAGGTCTTCATGTTTGTATTCGAGGGTCTAACACATTTCCCATCATATAGAAGGTATTTTCTATAAATTTTGGATGGAGATAAACAGAACAGCAAAATTCTGGTATCCTACTCCCTTAACGATGCTCTTTTCTCATCCATCCTGTATTTCTCATATGTCTGTGTCTTTGACTTAGGTCACCTGAGAGTGGATTAGAGGTTGGAACCATGATTCATCCATTTATTCCATCAGTCAATATCCAAAAATTTATTGAACACATGACACATACCAGTTATTTTGCTAGGTGCTGGGAAATAGCAGTGAATAACACAGATCTACCTGCCTCCTAAAATGACAGATGCCCAGGGAGTGTTTTAAAAGCGAGCTGGTTTCTAGAGAGGAATGGCAGAAGCTGCTTCTGTTATGACTGTACAAAAGATACAGAGATTTCATCTTTTACCATTGAAACTTACTCATATCCCGCAGTAAATTCTGATTCATTTAAAAAGAAAGAGATGACAGAGGAAGGCCTATCTGGCTTGATGTCCACAGCTGTGTATAAATCAGTCTGTTGATAAATCACTTTGTGCATGAGGAACAAATCATAACCTGGCTGACTTTGAGCCTGTGAGGTAGCTGCCAATAGGGCAAGGCAGTGGACAGATTTAGCAAAAGAATATGAGTTGGCCTGTGGCCATTCCCCTGTTTCTGCCGGTTTCCTGTCACATTTCACTTTAACGGACTGACAACGTGTTGTAAACTGTGATTAAGTCTTCACAATGAAAGATGATTTATTGGGTTTCTTCCCGATCCCTTTTCCAACCTTTACTTCCTTTCCCCCAGGTGCTGGACCCTCTCACCGTTTCTTGGACCTTCTTCCCTCTCCTTCTACTTTTTACTTCTTCCGTTGGAGTGTGAATCTGTTCAATTAATCCAAAAAAAAATTATGGGGTGTCTATTTTGTGTTCAGTGCTATATAGGATGCTAGGATTAACACAAAAGCAAAAGTAAACTTCAAATTGGGAGATGTTCTAACCCCTACTTCCATGTAAGCATTCAATCAGTGCAACTTGCAAAATGCATAAACATCTGACAGTTTGAATTTACAGTGTTGATGGAAGGAGTAATTTTTAATGTGTACTGTAAAACTTGAGATACTCAGGAGCTGAGTGAAACGTTCATTGCTACTTATAATCCTGACCTGCTAGTCCCATTAGTCCCAGTGGTTTGACTTTAACATGGGCTTTTCAACTTTGTTTCCTGTTTACCAGCAATTTCTGTTGTAGACTCACGAGTTTAACTGTTGTCTTATAATAGTGTGGTTATGATCTTTATTTATATAAAAACCAAATATTTCTTAAAAAAGAAAAAGGCAAGAGCAAAAGTAAAAATAAAACAGGTAAAAAACAAGTAATAGTAAAGGAGAAACAAACAAAAATAAACAGAGAACAATGAACTCCTCACAATTGGATTTTTCTCTTGAAACGAGGGCAGAGAAAGGGTTCTGGGTAGACTAAGTTTTTAAGGAATAACTTCTCAAAAAGGGAGTGGAGAGCTGTGTCTGAATCCTAAGGATCTGGTTGGGAGAGAGGTGGGGATGGTGTTTTCAGTAGGAGTTCTAGGCAGGATTACGTTGTGCTATGAAAACAGTAAGGGGATGGAATATGACTTTGGAGGCTTTGGGGTGGGAACAGGGAAGCCCTATGGGCCTTTCCGTTGTTAAGTCCCAGGTTATTTATCAGCTCCCACTTTGACTTTTTTCTTTTCTGTAGGAGGCTACAAGGATTCAGCCTACATTCCTTTCCTGTTTAAAGTCCCTGCCACTGACATCCTTTGGTGTTATTTCCTCAGGCCTTCATACATGTTAGTTACAAGTCCCCAGGCCATTCTTCCTAGCATAAACTTATGCCCCAGAACATAAGTACTTATGCCCCAGAACATAAGTACTTTCTATTGAAAGAGTTTCATTGCTAATCGTAAGAGAGAAATTGAAGAGATAAAACAGCTATTGTGAGGAAGTTAAAAAAATCATCTGAAATAAAGTTCTTAGAGTCTTGTTTCCTACTCTGTATTTCTTCCATCTAGGAGATAAAGGAGTAGGGCTTAGCATGTATGCACTGAACAAAATTTTGAGCAACTGAGCAATTGGAAATACACACATAAAAAACAATTAGAAATAAGTGTTGTGCAGAGAAAACCACAGCAACATGATAGAGAACAACTGAGCGGTTACTTCAATATAATCAGGGAAGCACTCTCTAAGGTAACAGTTAAACTGAGTCCTTCAAAAGAGCCATGTAAAAACCAGGGGGAAGTACATTTCAACCACGAGGTGTGTTGGGGAACAGAAAGAAGGCCGGTGGGTGAGGCTTAGTGAGTGAGGACAGAGAAATACAAAAAGAAGTTTGGGGTTTTTCAGGTGAGAACTTTGGATTTATTTTAATTTCAATATGATCTAAAACCACTCAAGAGTTGGTGAGTGACATGTTATGATTTATATATTTTTAAAAGATTACATCAGTAAAGAGGAAGGAGAACAGAAACGGGGTCCAGTTAGGAGGCTGTTGTACAGTGGATTGAACTAGGGTAGAAGCAGCAAAAATGGAAGAAGCGAACGGATTTGGGATGCGGATTGAGCATGGAGTCAATTGGATGTGGTGGTTGAAGGGGTGCGAAATTAAGGCTGACTCAGGTTTGTGGCTCGAGTAACTGGGTGAGCGGAAGCTGCACATCCCATATCCTGGAATACTCACACACTCTGAACTCTGTCCCACTGTCCTTCTGTCATTTCTGAAACTCTTCTAGCAGCCTCTGTCAAGAATGCATCCAGAGATAGCCTCGGAAAAACAAAAAGTTTCAATAATCATCTGTTTATATCTATGTGGACCAAGAGGGTAAATGAGCAGTACTGGGTGTCACCTAAGTCTGTCGTCACCCAGGAGTAGTGCATTTTGGGTATTACCTGGACTGAGGGAGGAGAGGAGATAAGAAATATAGTTAAATAGATAAGACAATTTTTGTAGGATGATCCTAGTGTTGGGGAAATATAATAGAAAGAGTCCAACAAAACATCCCTGTGTAACAATATAGAAGAGGGAAAGTACATACTTTTAACATTGGGTAAGCATTATCAGCAATAACATGCACGTCAGGTAACACAAAAGTGACTACAGTCTGAAGAGATTTTCACACAAATTTATACAAAAGGTAGAAGAGATAAATGAAAACTTATTTCCATAAGAGACAAGAGGATGTACCTTGCGTTTGTCTTATTAGACCCGTGAGAGATGTCTGAGCTAAATCTAGTTAAGCGTTTACAGTTCCAAGGGTCAGAAGGCCTATGACTTTGTAACACTGAAAGGTCAGACTGCCCTGGCCGGTGTGGCTCCATTGGTTTGGTTCTGGTCAGGGCACATTCCCAGGTTGTGGCCCTGGGGTGCATACGGGAGGCAACCGATGTTTCTCTCTCTTCTCTCTCTCCCCCTCTCCCTTCCTCTCTAAAGCCCACAATAAAACATTTTTAAAAAATGGTTAGACCATTTATAACAGACCTATTATGTCCTCAAAGTGACACCCTAAAGAGGAGAAGGCGGAGAGGCAGTGATCTCCTTCCTTAAAGGAACTTTCATCAATTTACCTTTACAGCTTGCCACATATTTTTTTCCAAAGATCTTACCACGTAGCCCCAAATAAATAATATATGAGAATTTCATTGTGTAATGAGAATAAAAGAAAGGACTATACATTATAAGCATGTATGATGTCTCCCGCCTCCTCCCCTCAGTCCTAACTCCTGTGTCTCCTTCCAAGAGAGCGGCTAAGTGGGCCAACTCCACCGTTCATCATTCGTCAGTGAAAATGGTGCAGAATCAGAGACTGAGGAATAGGGGCAAGCTGAAGACATATGACCGAATCCGAGGTGATGCAAAGGGCTGGAATGCATGGGCTGGAAGGAAGAAAAACTAGAAAAGCAAAACCAAGAACCGTAAAGAACACAGTTTAGGGGGAATTTCTGGTGGTGATTTTGAGACTGGGGCTTTCAGTCAGCTGTGGACTTGAGACACACTAA